ACCTTATAATACCTCCTAGGCCTACTACTTTCTTTATTATTATTATTATTATTATTATTATTATTATTATTATTATTATTATTTATTATTATTATTATTATCATTATTACTATTACTATTACTATTACTATTATTATTACTAGTATTATTATTACTATTACTACTATTATTATTACTATTGCTGTTATTTTCATTTACAGATCAATGATTTGTTCTCTTTCTGTAGTTCCTTCTCCAGACCTGTTCAGATTTTGGTCCCACTAAGAGTGGGTTTAGCAGCTTGGGGAGACAAGAAGTGCAGTGGGACACTGCTGCAGTAACATACATCCAAACTTAGGTGTATGTGAGGGTCACAAAGTTCCTGTCTAAACCCAATTTCCCCAGACTCAGTGCCTCCCCTGTTTTCCCTAATGACACATATCTATCCCTGTTCCGATGGCTGACACTTTTATGCAACAGGTTTATCTGTAGCATGGCTTGAAAAAGTAAGCCAGGCAGCAACCATGCAACTGGAGCATTGCAAAACCTGTGGCTGGACTCCGGGGGCTTGCATATATAAATGTTTATATTTTTCCAGAAATCTTATCTGTCCAATATTTCAGCCTATATTTAACATCATGCACAGTTTCAAGCTTTAGAGTCTCAAGACATTATAGTTAGGTCCAACTGTGTTTTCCCAGATGTACTTTTAAGCTTCCCTGTGAAGCACTGACTGCTTGGCTGACTGCTTCTGAAATGGGGGCCACCCTGAAACAAAAAGGGAAAGCCAGCCCAAGTCCATGCCCAGCAAGGATGGCCCAAGTGAGTGGCACAGGTCATACTGCTCTGCACAGACACCTCCAAGCTGCAGCACAGCTCTTGCTTGCTTTGTGGGAAACAACATTTTTGAGCATGTATTACAACAGACCTATATCTAAAAATAACATGGTTAGACACCCACACTCAAAATAATGACTTTTAAGCTTCAAAATCTTGGGGATTTCTTCTGTGTGCTACAGAATAACCTCTGTTAGGGAAGGCCAATACAAATCTGAGAGCATGATGCTCTTTACAGGCACTGAGATGCAAATCTTATTGGGAACCTCTTCCTGATATTTTTGCTTCTGTTCAAATGCACACTCCTGCACAATCCCAGCAACCTTTCTAGCCTCTTGAAATTCCTATTACCAGATGCCTTTGGCACAGAAATAAATGAGTACAGGCTCAGAACAGGAAGGAACATGAGGAATTGACTGCAACATTGCTTAAAGATTCTATTACAAGTTTTTCAACCTCCAGGTAACTCTTAATTTATACCAGGGATAGGGGAAGACTGGAATGATTTCTGCTATTAGCCCAGGATCCCTGCTGCATGCAGAAACCTGCAGCTCCAAATCCAGCCCCCTACTTTATCCATCTTTATTTACTTTTCTGTAGGTTTTAACAGGAACATCAAGGAAGCTCATTGCTGTATCGTGCCTTGCAAGGACAAACGGCACATAGGAATATGCCTCTTGAAAACGCAAGGGTCTGCAGGACAGTAGCTAGCAGAGACCCAAGTCCCTAACTCCAGCCACATCATCTTGTCCGCAGGTGCACCCTGAGATGATCCCGGCACTGTGCGTGTACCCCGCTCTGTGGGTACCCCGCGTACACACACACACGGTTTGCGTCAGTGCCACGCACAAACCGCCCGTACAGCTCGTCATGGTAGAGCAGCCCCACAACATGGTCCGACGGGACCCATGGGAAGCACACCCTGAAAAATACACCTCTTAAATGTTGTGGTCCTACAGGCCGTACCGTGGGGGAGAGCAGGCACCTGCGTTGCCTGTTCCTCACACCACCCGCCATGTGCCTCCAAAAAGGATGGGGATATAGCAGGGCACCAGTGGCCGTCATGAAGCAAGGTGAACAGTAAGCCTAATGATAAGGGAGGAGAGTACTATTCATTGCTATGATTTCTAAAAACACTCTCATAAAAAACAATATTGCAATGAACAAGTGACGTGTAGTGAGGTTCACCTAAATGGTGTTATCAGACTACCCCTGCTCCTGGGTCTCTTCTCCTGCTGAGTGCCCCTCGCACAGCTGGAAGGAGCAAAACTGATGAAGACTCCCTCCTCCTTTTTCTCTGATATTTTTTCTCTCTTATGATGATTTATTTTAGGGAGCACTCAAAACTCAGGATATTTGTGGGCTCACATGCAGTGGTGTTGGCCCAGTGACAGATTTCTCAGGTCAGTACTCATACTAACAGTTACCACAAAAGGAAATTCCCTTTAGTGTCAAAAAACTCCCTTTAGGATGAAAAACTAACTTGTGTTGTTGGTTGCTGATTCTTTGTTTCTACATGAAAAGAAAAAGAAAAGAATGCCCAGATCTTTTAAAAGCTCTGCAATATCAGAGTAAAAAGTTGCAGCCTGTTACTGACCCACAGCAAGAAGGTCTGTACCAGCCATGGTGATTTCTCCATTTCCTTGCTGGGAAGGAAATGAGAGCACCATAGTTCAGTTAAAACACCTGCGGGACTGAAGAATGAGGGAGGACACGGAGCCTGAGGAGGAGGAAGGAGCCCACCAAGCCCCTTCTGACCATGGGCACTTCCAGAGCCTGGGCACCTTACAGCGAGTTACCAAAAGGTCAAGGTAGGTGCTGGCCTCAGGGAAGGAAACACATTTACAGGAAACCTCAGATAATCTTCAAGGCTTTAGCTATATAAACATATTAAAGATCTTAAAGTGATCTGCTGGCAGAAAGCAAGAAGCTTATTTCTTTTGATGTGTTTGTTTTAAGATGCCAATCAAAAGCTCTTTCCGCAGAAAAAACTCAGTGGTAGATTTGCCTTTGCTCTTGCGGTTGGAATCAGGCCCAGGAGGTGACAGACAACAGATAAGGACTTAATTAATGTCCAGTGAGAGGCAGGAGGGATGAATGTTATCAGCAGTTTCACCTGGCTCAGGTGATGGACTGATAATCTGTTGAGAACTCCATGGAGGTTAGAAAGCAGCGCGGTACCCCCTTGGGATGACTGCTTTCCTTTCATGCATGGGCAGTGTTTCAGCCAATCTCATGCCCTGCACCGTTAGAAGAAAGCTGATGGAAAAATTATTAATGACTTTGCTGCGCCAGCCATCACGATGGGCCTTTGGGAGCACTGTCAGTGTTGCACATAAGGAGAAAAACAGATTTTTAAGTTTCACGTCTGACATTTTCTCCCAGTGATGGAGGTAAATATGAACTGCTGAGTACTGGAACACAGTCCTCTTCTGCCTGCAGCTTGGTATCTTGTGAAATGAAGGATACACAAACTGTCTGGCTTATGAATCATGTCTTTCAATAGGAAATGCTGTCAATATATTAAATAGAGATGGACATAAATAAAGTTAAGTTAAACAGCAGGAAAATGAGGTTTATTATTTTTTTCCTTGTAGACCAAAATCCCTTTCATGGGGTTCAAAATACTTTTCATCAAATAAATTACCTTCAAAACACAACTATAGAAGTTAAAAGTTCTCACTTTGAACTTTGTCAAGGAAAGTGGTACAAAACTAACTCATATATAATAATCAAAAGCATGAAGACACAATTCTGTCAAAGATCAAAAAAATTCTTTGAACCCCTTTTTTGATGATGAACAGGAAGAATTCCCTGGTGGTTTTCCCGTGGGAAAAGAGATGCTGCAGAGCACCGTGAGGGCTGCGGCTGGCCCTGCCTGCTCTGTGGGTGCCTCCTTTGTTGAGGGTGTAGAGACAATCCCACCATCCTGCTGCCTGTCTTCCCCTCCCTGGCACTGCACTGCTTCTGTTCGAGTGTTGGGAAGTAGCTAGAAGTTAAGAAATGTTACAGTAAATGATAGAAAAAGGGAGATTAAAGCCTGACTGCCTGTCCAGGCAGTCCAAGTCCCAAGGCCCGTTGTCCTGGAACAGCCCAAAGGCTGCCTTAGAGGCCGCTTTTGAAACCAAAAGAAAAGCAGTTGGGAAATTAACAGGTCAAACGTGGTGCTTCAGAAGTTTGTTTTTGGCAAATCATGTGCCTGTGGTGTTGGATGGGTTGTGAAGCAGTATGATGCTCTGGGACCTGTCAAAGGGGATGGGGAGGCCCTGCTGCAGCTCCCCCTGGACAGGACCTGCAGGCTGGGAGGGGGTCTGCTCCAGGAGCCTGACCTTCCTCCTTCCACAGGACAGCAACTCCAAAATATCATCTGGGGCACTTCGGTCTGACCCCTGGACGAGCACAGTGTATGTGGGTCAGGCTGAAATCATATCTGAAATCATATATAAACTCTCCTTTCTTCTCTTGGGTCTCTTTACGCTGTTGTCCCCCTGGGGTTTTTTGGTGTGGTTTCTTTTTTTTTTTCCTGATCTTACCTTCCTTTTCCTATTTCAAACTAGTTCAAATTGCCTCAGGTGTGAAAACAAACCATGGCCTCAGCCGGGCTCGTTATTTCACAGAAACAACTTCTACTTTCTATGTTTATGTATTTCTTCGGGTGCACAGTTTGCCCGGTGGTCTCCTGAGGCTTGGAGGTGTCACACCTCTAGCCCTCCTGCCTCACCTGCTTCAGAGTAAGCATAACCAAAACCTTAGGGCCAGGCAAAAGTTGAGGCAGAAAAGATACACGTGGATAAGAAATATATGTACCTATTTTTCAGTAGTGGCAACCATTTAAAGCTGCCCAGAGGTCTGAAATACTCTAATGGCAATGAAATCAGCTGGGGTTGCCAGAGACAACCAGCAGCATCTATTTAATAGATAATGGGATCATGTAATTGATATGTATCTATAGGTACATAATAGATACGTGATCAATAGCTCACGGGAGCCTAGAAATTTATCTGAGGGATATCAAAATATGCATGGCAACATTTACTAACTAAACAAAAGAACACGCAACCTCTGGTTGGATGATGTCGGGTGAAACAATGTTATCAGACCTCTCTGGGCAAATACAAGGAGCCTATAAAACGAGCTGCTCCCAGGGAGAGCGGCACTTCTCCTCCACCTGCCTTTCAAGACCAATGGATCTCAAAGTGATCTGTGTGCTCTCCGTCATCCTCACTGTAGCCCTCAGCACCTTAGCAGAGGGAAAGATGATGCCAAGTAAGTACATTCACCTGCTGTTGCCTTCACAGGTACCTATGTGGGCCTGGCCTTCCCGACTGTAACTGCAGCAAGAGCACGTCTCCAGTTTTATGTATCAGACAGAGAATGTCTTGCTCTGGTACTATTACCAAAGTTGGATTTTTAATTTTTTCAGAGAAATTTATGGCAAAATAAAAAAGACTGCGGGTGAATTCTTGTGTTGCTAGAATGACCAGGAACCTGCTGCAAAGGCACAGGGATGGACAGGACCTCGCTAGAACAGGAGCTAGATATGTCTAAATAGTCTTCTGATATTTATTTTATGCTACTTTGTCACATGAATATAATTTCAGAGGAGTCTATATCTTCCTCCTCAATAAAAGAGAAGTCATTTAGACAACTTAAGAAGGGGAAAGCAAGTAACTCAATGACAGACACCTAGGGACACCTCTAGAATTTCTCCTTTGTGGATGACTGTGCAGTAGACTTAAAATGTTAAAATTATAGACATAACTATTTACATGCAATGCTATGTTTTTATAGTCACCTGATGAAAAGAATGAAAAGATTTTGTATCTGTACACTTGTTTGAATATCCACTGGACCCTTAACTCTTTCTTTCTTCCCATGAGATTAGCAAAGCATGACTACTAGCATGACATTTGAAGTTATGGGTTTTTACCACTTGATGAGGTCTATTTGAAGGCCACAGACCCCACTGTGCCGGGCTGGCTTGGCTGCAGGTGAAACCACAGATTCTCAAAGGGTGGGGTACAACCCTTACTGAAATCGATGGGAGTTTAAAAGAAACTTTTAAAGCACACAACTTCTGGTCTTAGCAGGCAACAGAAAAGGTACACTTTGCAAAGATAAATGGAGTCTAGGGAAAGATATTTGTTCCCAGGGACATCTGATAAATGCACCTCCACTAACAAGTGTGCAAACTGACACCCAGTAACTTGATATTTCTGTCCTGAGCAGCAAGATGCCAGTGTAAAGTGGCGCCCAATGAGCGAACGAACTGTGGCTTCCCGGGAATCTCAGAGTATCAGTGCAAGCAAGCTGGGTGCTGCTTCAATGATGAAGTCCCTGGCACTCCCTGGTGCTTTGCTCCTAAAGCAAAGAAAGGTAATGTCTCTGCCAGAAACACTGGTTTACCTACTGTCTGATTATACAGAAATTTGTAAAAATGGGGAGCAGCTTTGCTTTTCTTCTTAGGCCAATGAAGTGGGCACAAGCCCCTGTTAGGAGACCACTGGTATTAAAATGCAAAGTCAAACCTTGCTTACCCATCAGTCTTTTGTCTCATATTCTGCATACAATATATTTCCTCTTCCTTCAGGCTTATAGTTATCAAATAACACATGCTGATTATTTAAAAACATTTCATTGCCATTTGTGGTTTTGTTCATCAGTAGATCAAGGGATCCTCAGCACTTACTTAAATGGGTTTTCTATGTGGCTGAGGAGGACTTTAGCACTGCATGTCAAAGACCTGAGTAGATGAGTCCCTCGGTAGTTGTTTGACACCTGTACAAAAGACCACAGATATCCTGTAACTTTTAGGGGTTTTGCTGTTTTCTCCAGCTTGTTTTGATGCTTGCTACTTCCTTCCTCTCCTGCCTGTTTCCCAGCATAATTCCACTTGGTTCTTCTTTTCTCTTCCATTCTTGTTCCTAGTCTCCACTCAATAAAATCTCCAAAATATCCCAGGGAAAATCCTTTTCTCCATTAGATTCTTCCTTCTAAAGCTTCTAAAGTCCTGCTTTGATCTTTTGGCCTTTGTTTTCTCTGAGAAAAGAGAGCTCTTAGAAAAGAGCTGCTCTCCTAGTGCTTCAAGTGACTGGCTGCATACTTTACATAACTACTGAATGTAAGCTACATTTTCTGAGCTGATGGTGGGACTCCTTAGCAGAACTTCAGAGCAATCTCAGCAGTTGCACAGGTGAAATGAAAGGAAGTGAGGGTGCAAAGGCAACATTACCCAGTAAACGAACTTGATATGTATTAGGATTGGTCAACAGGGCTCAGAATTGCTGAAGGAAAACAAAAAATTGCTTTTGAACACTGTTTGCATTTAATGAAAATCTTGAAAAACAAATGACAGCTCCTTATAGTGTCATTCTCATAGAATTGCTTTTCTGAGCTGAACTGTTTCAGGAAAGGAAAACTGAATTATCCAGGCTGGGTGGTATAACCTCTTTACCCGTGATTTTACTTTAAATTGCCTGGATGAGCTGTGATTTCCTCCTAAATGGCCTACCTTCTTTCTGTAACTCAAGTTGGCACGCAGAGGAGGCTGGGTTTTCCTCTCCCCTCATTAGCCAGGCTGCTCTGGATCAGGTCATGAACATGCCCTGGTCTGAGGCTGGTGTCTGTGGTACCGTTACAGGACACACATGGCTTTCACCCCATTGCTGGATGTAGGAAAGGTAAATCAGAGTCGCTGCCTACTAGACACTTCTAGGGGCGAATTTTGCCCCCTTTGTCCCCTGGGGCACAGCAGCAATTCTTCATTCCTTGGCATTTAGTTTTGCTTAAGAGGTGCGGTAAGGATTTGGGTGAACCTGCTGCCTGAAATTGGTATGGAGAAGGTCATCGTGGCTGTCATGTCTGCTCACTGACCTCACCTTTGTGGCCTGCCTTTTGTTTGTGAATTGTGCCACCAAGTAGACGGAGCATATAGTAACACAGCCTCCTTCCTTCCTTTCTTCCTTCCTTCCTTCCTTTTTTGCTTTACACAGTTAAGAAAGTATGTCCTGATGATCATCACGCCAGGATAAACTGCGGCTTCCCCGGCATCACGGCTAAGGAGTGCGAAAAGAAGGGGTGCTGCTTCAAGGCACATCCTGCCGGTGTCCCCTGGTGCTTCTACCACCGCGTGGTGGAGGAAGGTAAGGTCTTGCACGAGACATCGTTCCCCACGTCCCCGTGGATGCACCACGGCTGCTGGCAGGGTCTGGTGTGCTGTGCCGGCGCGGCGCAGCGCGAGGCCACGCGCGAGGGAGCGAGCGGGACGGGGTCGCCCCCCTTCCCTGTGTGCGTGCAGAGCTTCCTCACCCAGGGCGTGAGGGGGGAAGAGGCGGCTAAACCCTAAACGGACCCACTTCTTGCACAGAGGGGTGGGTGTTGCAATGCATTTGAGACAGGGAATTGGGGGCAATGTGGCTGCACAGGCAGGCTGGGCTCAGGTGAGAGATCAAGCCCTCAGCTAATGTGGTGGTAGAGGTCCAGCTACCGAACTCATATCTACTTTATCACAAATGATAAAAGACTCTGCTTTAGAAATGTGGAATGAAATTTACAGAAATTTCTAACCTCCTACTTCTGTTTTTTTTTTTTTTTTTTTAATTAGGATTGACCTCAGCATATCTAACGTAGATAACCAATAGCCTCAGCTAATTCTAACCCACCTCACAGTGTATTTTGTACTGGAGATAATTCACCATAATTTGGGTTTACTGATCTGAATTATAGTTAGAAAACACATGTAGGGATGGTGGAGGGGTGGTGAGGCAGAAAGCAATTGCTAAAATATTGCCTTTTTGATGTCTTGCATCTAAGCAAAACATTTCCCAGCATCTTGTGTAATTTGTGAAGAAGACATGTTCCTTAATCTGCTTCTCCTCTTTACCTCCCCAGCTTGTTAAAGGAGAAACTTCCATCAAGACCCTTGAGACCTTTGGACCTACACCAACGGGAAACAACAGCTGGAGATCCCAACTCAGACTTTATAGTTTGCAACAGCTATGACTTCTAGGTCCTTTTTACTTTAGATTGACTCCATTCTCATTAAAAGTTACTTGCAGCTTTTATTCTTTCAGTAGGCTAGTACCGTGCAGGTTTTCACTGTAATAAAAGAACTAAGACAGTATTTGTGAGTTCTCTGCTCTCTTTATTTTTAAAGCTATGTATTTCTCTGTTTCCCAGGAAATTTGGCATCTTAGCAACTCACCGATGCAAGAGTAGTCACTAACACTTCCAAAAGGAACATGGCACTCAGGTTTTTGTGTTAGTTACACTTCACGCTTGCAAGCGGCTGCTTGTGTTCGTTATATAATACGTGGTTTCACATGGGCCACTCACCCTTCTGGATACTGAAAGTATTCAGCATTTTCCTTTATAATAGCTACAGCTGTGGGTTTGGGTGTTTTTTTCTCCCCCCTTGAGACATCGGGAAGGGTACCTTTGTTAGCTGTCCTCCGAGCTGGTGTGACTTGGACACCTCCTGCTCTCTGCATCACCATGTCTCTGGTGCTACCAAACCCTCGATGCTGCTCAGAAGGGCAGGTACCCACCTGTTACATGACCTAACCCAACACGGGCCCTGGCTGCTGATGCAATGTGCAGCTGAATCACCGGGATCTCTCACTGTTAATCAGCATCCCCACAAGCGAGTCCCATGGGCCATACTCAGGAAAAGTCTCTGCAACACTAAAAGCAAGACACAGGTCCCCCTGTCCCCAAGCTATTCCTGAAATAGAGCCTGCTGTGTCTCACCAGGTACAGGAGAAGCTGCTGGTCTCCAGGCAAGTGTGGCTGATTTCTCCTGGGCATCTTTAATGCTCAGTACAGCAGCACAAGCGTTTCCCTGCTTCAGCTGAGTGAGAGCACAGTAAAGAGCCTCTAAGCGCACTGTTGGGAACAAAATGGGCTAATGCAAGACTGCCACGACAGCAAGCTGTGCTCAGGGCTTAGCTGGAAAGAACAGTTGTACAGGGTTGTGGTGCAAGAAGAGACAAATGGTGGAGACACATCCCTCCCGAGAGATTTCTACAAGCACATTTTTGTGATGAGTAAGTTTATCCAAGCGGGTGAAAGTTAGTCATTCATAAAACTTCATTATCTTGCACTTACAATAGGCTCTATAATATGATTTGAATATGGTAAGATATTGGTTGTAATATGAGCAATAAACCAACAAGTCTACTGAAGGTCTTTGAAGGTCTTTGCTGAGGAAGGTTTGGTGCTGTAGCCCAGGTGAATCTGGAAGGCCCAAGCAACAGTGTAATCACAGTAATACTGCGCTGTAAAATCTGGTGCAACAACAAGGTGCGATTACTAGGTAACAGTGGAGGACTCACAGACCTGAATAAGTTTTAACATGCAAGTACGAGAAGCCCAAATGAAGACTTACCCTTTGTATCTCTGCAACTCTGCTTGCACACACACATCACTGTTCAGTGGGTGCTGAATGAGTTCCGAATATTTCGAAACAAAGTTCCGAATAATTTTCTGGGGGAAAAAAGAAATAGGCCAGCTACACGATTTTTGTCAGTAAAGGTGCTACCATAACAGAAATCGGTCCTCTGTGACACCAAGTATATATGCTAATGAGGTTATTACGCAGATAGTGAATGATGTTTAAAATCACAACTGCCTGGTAGTCCTAAACTGTCTGTAATCATGACATCTGTGTGCAACGCTTCAGCTTCTATTAAAGGCTAAATAGAAAATACTTGACGTTGCAGATTGTTTAGCAGTGTGGTTCTTCAGTGAGTAAGGATATTCTACTGTTTTTTAAAAGCGATTGCAGCCAAGGAAAAGGTCTCAAATCATTCATTTTGAATCAGTGCAGGAAAGCTGTATTTGGCCAACATGGAGAATTAACAGGGCAGAAAAGTAGGACAGACAAGGATCTCAGAGCAGATGGGTGCTAGCAACAAAGAACAAACCTGTAGCAATGTGAAAAAGGAATATAACTGAAAACACCTCAAAAAAATGTGTATTTTAATATGCCCACCTACTTCAGATCCCATTCCCAAATGTCTCCGGAAAGGGTATGCTTCCTGCTACAGCTAGTATCACATACCTCCTCTGGCAAAGCTCCCATTCAAAAGGAAGGTTTCAGACAAGGTGCTAAACCAAAGTGAAAAGAGTACAGAAACTGAAATCTTTCTGTGTTGAGAGAAGCTAAATCACACGGTTCTGCCACAAGTCTCTAACACGCTACTGGTTTTACGAAAGCTTGGAAACTTAACCATGATGCCATTAAACAGCCTGGAAAGCAGAAAATAAAACACAACAAGCAAATACGATTCCCTGTGCTAAAACCAGGCAGAATTATGATCTCAAGACAGAGATTCAGTTGCCAGGAGGTTGCCCTCTCTGCCAGACTGAATCCAAAAAGGGGAACTCACTGCTCTGAGGTGTGGGTTGCAAAACCTTCCTTACAAGCAAAGTTCAGGTGAGCCTTTCAGAAGCTCTCAGGTGAGAGCCGCCCAAGCAGCTCTCTGCCAGAAGTAAAAACCCTCTTTGAGCAGAACAGTCCATTATTGCTCTGCAGGCTCGTTTTTCCCCACCTGAAGCTTCTGCTAAAGCATTTGAAAGCTGCCAGTGTCAGTGTACAAAACAGTGAGCTGCCCGACTACCTAAGGCAGCATGCACGCTCCCTGTCCCGGTACACTCCACCAGGTACACAAAGGGAGGATGAGACTACCAACGTGTCCTCAGTACTAGAAGGCAATGGCCAAGCAGATTGACTTCGCTTTAAAATATGTGTGCTGCAATGCATAATGCATTCAAATGTTAGAACTAGCAACACTCATGGATGCTACAGAAGAGGATGCTCTTCTGTTCAAGTGTTTGCAGTCTTTTGGTGCTACTCCCCCTGCTAGTGAATGGTAAAATTTCTGTGTGCCTATCCGAGGTGAGCAGGGTAAGAACACAAAGTACTTTTCTGCTGGAGACTAGTGTATTCATCTATCTATAATAACTTCTTGTGATTTGTGAGCACCCTTTGTGTACCCATCGTGGTACCCAGAAATTCCCCTCAGAGAAGACACTAGACAAGGACAGGCTCTCTCAGAGTCCTGCTCCCATCTGCCTCCAGGTTAGGTCTCCCAGGCTTCCTTCAACGTGTGCATTCCCCTCTGAGCATAAGAAAAGGTTGTTTTGGAAAACATAAATTTTGAGGGATTTGATACTGAAATTTTGAAGTGAAACTCTGGAAGTCTTAAATCAAAATATTTCACTGCAGCTGAGCCAAACCCCTTCATTGCTGAACTTGTTGCAGAAACTCTAGGAAATTCCCAGGGTCCAAAGCCCATAGCAATTAGTTGGGTCTGACTAAACACAGGTGTGAACTGAAGGTTGGTTGAAAGCAGGTATCATCAGTTTGGTCTGTGGTGTTTCCAGGGAGCTTCATGGAAGGTAAATTTGGTAAGTACAACCCAGAGAGGACACAGGATCCTTCCTGCCTCAAAGGATTGATATTGGGAACTAACTGCTTTGCAATTTCTTAACAATCCTGTTTACCTTGAATGTTATTTTGACGCCTTGAATGTTCTTTTGAAACTTGTTTATTACAGAATGGTGCCTAAGCTTATCAGGGACTGGTATTTGTCAAGAACTGTGTGTCAGACACAGGGGGAGATAACAAGAATAACAGTGTCAGTCTGACCATAAAACTGGACAAGAATCTGCTGAGATCACCAAGTACGAAGAGAGCATGTGTGAATGACTAAAGTTCATCTAAAGGACACAAGAGGAAGAGAAGATAAGACCCCTGAAGAAGAAAACAACCATCAGAGACAGATCTGAGTCTGTGCAAACTAACCCCGCCTCACTTATGCATATATATGTTTATGATGCATAATTTCATGAATATGTATATCTGCACTGCATAAATTTCTGGCAAAGTGTGCTGTTGGTGTGCAAGCTAGGAGGAGCAATCCCCCTTGCACCCAGCGCTGCAATAAACATACCTGCTTTACAACTCTTTGTGAGTTGTAAAGTTTGTTTCTGCGCTTCAGGATCTCACCTGCTTGTTACCCTTTTTCAGACTTGTCATTACACCCCATCTGAGGGATGCTTCACCAAGGCTTAGGATACAGCTTTCAACAAACGGATGGAGCAAAATCACAAGCTTTTCTGTAGCCTCTGTTCCTTCTCTAACTGCTTTGGGGCTACTTTCTGATTCTTACACAGGAGAAAGACAAAAAGCACCTGCAAGACTCTTGATAATGTCATGAAAGCCACCTCATATTTGACTACAGATGCCAGTGGGGATAAGCAAGGAGGCCCTAAGAGCAGGTGGAGCTTTATTCAACCTGCCCAGCAGAGCAGATGAACTGGCAGTGGGACAAGAGAATGACTATGTGCTAGAAAGAAGTGTGGGGGGGAAATGGTGCATCTCTGAGGGCTGGTTTTGTGGTCAGAGGCTGACAATGGATCAGTTTCATGTTTTGATAATATTTTCTATCCGTGGAAGAGATCAAGTATTGACTTCCTTCTTAGCCTGCCTATGTGCGTGTGGGCACAGGCACAAAACTGGTGTCATGTATCCAGCAATGCCACTGAACAAAGTTAACATTGCATAAAAAAGTCACAGATCTTGAAAAAAATCTCCAAGGTACAGAAAAAAAGGAAACCAAATGAGGTTATGAAATCAAAAATAAAATAAATTGATGCAACTAGTGCCAATTTGACTAATCCAGCCCTTGACAGCTTTTCTGCCCTAAATTGAGCTTCTAACATACACTTCCCCACCAAGCCCTTTATTAAGGTTTTCCCAAGATAAGGTGTCAGTGCTAGTGACTGACAGCATGATGGCTGCTCACTGCTCACCTGCGCACTGCACAGATCCCCGTACTCTCCCATGCTGAAAGAGGTGATCGTTCTTACCGTACCAGCTTCCCTGGTTTCCAATGCCTTTCAATCTGCATTATGAAGCAGGCTTTAAGTGGATAGCTATTAAAAAATACAACTTAAAGTGTCCTTTATTTTCAACCGCTCTTTATTTTATGAGTCCATTTGGAGCACACAGTGGATGGTAATTGCATGTGAGGTATATTAATTTTTGCAGCGTTGTTAATGAGAAGTTTATGGTTGGCTTATTTCATAGCATTAACTGTAATATAAAACACTTAAAGTAATTTATGTTGCCACTCAGGCTATGAAGGACTCCTGTTCCTCCTCTTCCCTTCCTGGTCTATGGACAGTTGGC